TCTCCTACCCCATTTGGCTCTCAGGATGGGCTGCCGCACCACACTGCTCTTCCTTCTTCTCCATAGATCAAACGCCAGGTGCCTAGTCAGTCCTGATGACAGAACCTGGATACCTCGGTTGCCGGTGCAGGATTCACATGCTGTTTTGGTTCTTTTTGATGGAAGCCTCCAATCACAGCTGTTTCTAGTTGGCCATCTTGGCTCTGCCCTACAGTTTGATTTTTAAAAGTAAAATTATGTTCTCAGATTTGTTTGTAATGCTCTTCTCAGAGGTGACCTTTGTTTTGTGTCTTTTGTTTGCATTGCATTGAAAGTGAGGATAAAATTGAGAAGGAAGAAGAGGTTCCTCTTTCTCTCACTTTACCTGCCTTGACAAACTCAAGCTTTCTTCTCTGCAATGAGAACCTGCCTGGAAGCTTTTGTGTTTCTTTTAGCCTTGAACTCAAGTCACTTTTTTTATAATGAGGTTGGGTACAGGTAAGGCTCTCAAGCTTCTAAAATTAGTTGTCCTTTCTTTAAAACTCTTTGTTGTTGTGGAGAAGCACAAATTTGTATTTGAGAGAATTCTTATCTGAAAAAAGATGTCTTAGCTTGGATTCTCTCCGAATCAGATCCTGAAACAAGGATTTGGAGGAAAGCATTTTATTTTTGAAGGAGTCCCTGGAAGTACCATGAAGGAATAAGATTATGGGATGGAGACATGTGAGAAATCAACAGATAGTGCATTCAGGAGTAGTTACCAGTATGGGTACCTGGGACTCAGTCCTGCCGGAGAGGCTCTAAGAAACTGTAGTTGCTGCAAGGGGTAAAGAACCTGGGGCATTTATTTACCATTTCCCATCTTTTATGGGTTGAAGTTTGTCTCTGGAGAAATTAACTCCCCACCATTTCTGGCCTTCCTGAATATGGGCAGCACATGCTGTTCAGGCAGAGGAAGTTCAGAGTCAGAGAGACACAAATGATTGAGGTAGGAACTCATTGGCTTGTGAAGTAAACTGTCTGCCAAAGCAATAGGCAACCAATGCTACAGAAGTGGGTCAGGGAATATGGGTGAAGCACCAACTGTCTGTATCAGAGGACTGTTGTTTTCAGATATGAGGAAGTTGGACTTACACTCCTTAAAGTTATACTCTGTTAGTGACCATAAAAATAGATCTGTAAGTCTCTGTGTTTTTTTCTGGATAATTCCTGTTCATATACCAAATCTCCATTTAGAGCCAATCTGCCTGAACTTAATTTATTCTTGTGATTCTACACAGGCTGTTCTTGTATTGACCCTGCTCATTGTCTCTTGGGGTCTACCTACCCAGAAAGTATGTTCTATCCTGCCTGCCCTTCACAGCTCCCAAATAAGCCATATCAGAATGCAAGGATAATTTAATTTCATATTTAGCACCCCCTTCACCCTCAAAGTGTTTCTTAGTATGTGTTGGGGAGTGGGTGTTTGGACATGGCCATAAGCCTACACAGTGGCTCCCACTGTGGTTTATCCATGTTGTGGACATGTTATAATTACTGGCAGGCAGAGCCTGTCAGAAGTCTGTTTGTAAAAGGATTTAAGATAATCCTGGGAGATAATTATTATAAGGGGTGAGGAAGTTAGGGGTGACAGCTTGATCCAGTAACAAGCCTTAGTCATCAGAGGAAGGGGGGTATTCTGAGAATGGTGTGGTGTCTATGACTCATATTTGTCTCCATTTCTGGCCTCCCTTTAGATCATGTCTCAGTCTTCCAGAGAGTTGAGAGGAAAGCTATAAATGAATATTAAATGAGTTTTTTTGCTAAAACTGTTGGACACTGGAGGTATGAGCAAGATTACTTGGAGACCCCTCTAATAGGATGTAATATAATCTAAAGAGAAGGGCTTATTTTCCAGTTCCAACAATGTCCATGGAGAGGGCTGGGGAGGGGCAAGAGAAATTGGAAGCCACATGGTATCTGACAAGGCTTGTTTATTATCATGGGTGAGATGCACTCAGGGATTTACCAGAGCTACTTGGGCAGTGCTTGATTGATGGCTGCATCCCAGGGAAAGCCATGATTAATGCAACCTTATTTGTTCCCATAGGCTGATGAGAACTGGGTGAACTCTAGCTGCAGTTGGAACATTCTGGTAGATATGGACAAATCCTTTTATTTCTTTTCCACAATCAAATTTAGCATAGATATAACTACCTGGTCCATAGTAGGTACTCATACTAGATATCCATTGAATGAATTAACTTTTTTCACATTTGATAAACATCAATAGTGAGCAAGGACTGAACTGACCCATGACAAATTTCTAGTCCCCTTGAGGTGAGGGAACCCTTACTTCTTTCTTATTTGCTATGCCTTATAGAAATAAATTAATGTGATTAAAAAAAAAAAAACTAATAGATACCTATGTCAGCCAGGCGTGGTGGCTTACTCCTATAATCCAAGTATTTTGGGAAGCTGAGGAGAGAGGATTGCTTGAGCCCAGGAGTTTGTGACCAGCTTGGACAATAGAGGGAGACATTGTCTCTACCAAAAATTAAAAATAAAAATCTGTCAGGCATGGTGGTGTGCACCTGTAGTCCCAGCTACTAGGGACACTGAGGTGGGAGGACTGCTTGAGCCCAGGAAGTCGAGGGTGCAATGAGCAGTGGTTGTGCCACTGCCCTCCAACCTGGATGACAGAGTGAGACCTTGTCTCATAAATAAATAAATAAATGACTTTGTCATTGTGAAAACTTTAGAAAAACAAATTTACTGGTGAATTAGTTTAACCGATTACCCTTAGTTTGGCATTACTTGTTAACAGTGTCTTTGGACAAGTTACTTAACGTCTCAGAACCTCAGATTCTTCTATAAAATTGATATAATGTTACCTACCTAAAGATGCTGTTGAGAATATTAAAAAAGATAGTGTACATAAAGTGCTTGCTATAACACATAGGGCATGAAAGGCATTTAATAAGTAATTATAATAGTAAGATAATCATTGTCATCTTGTAGATAATCTATGGGGATGCTAAATAAGATCCACCTAGGCAATTGCCTCTACTTTGTTGTTTTTTACTTGGTTTTCTACCTAAGACTAAATATTTAATGTAACTTCCATAACAGCTTTTTAACAAAGCCTTTGGTGAAGAGGCTTATAAAAAGTTTCTGTAATGTTAGATATATTGACTATGTCCAGTAGTTTTATCTATTTTTGATCCCCTCAAAAAGTATCAACAGATTAGAGGTTTCATTTCCTCTTACATCACCTGGGTTGAATTTTCTGTATCAGCTTTTGCTTGTTTGCATCTTTTAGCTAAACCAGTACCTAAAACTGGGGCCTATTGTGTACTTCTCCTGATCTATCCGTTGTAGGCTGCTTGAAGCAAGGTTTACTGGAGCCGTGTGAAAGTGTACATTGTCTAGAAGACAGAGCTATTTTTAGCTTGAAGGTAGAGCTGTGTTTTTCCTTCTTGGCAAATTCCTTTTCTTTTGATGAAAGCCAAACTTGAAGCTAGTGGTGACAGATTAGGGCCCTAATTGCTGTGCTGTTGGAAACAAGGAGAGATGTTTATTGCTAATCAGGTAAACAGCAGACTAAATTTCATCGGTGTAGTAAGATGAGCCCACTCAATGGGCTGGTCTTGTAGAATACGTTTTCTAGTGAGCCTGGGAAAACTTGTGAAGTAGCAATAATAAGAACAGCATATGGTCTTTGCTGGAACTTTGTCATACATTAGCAATGTGCTATGGGTGTGGTAATGAACATCAGGTGTATTTGGTTCAAGACTTCTAAACTTGGGGAAGTGGAATTTTGCTTTTATCCACATACTGGAATGTGTTTTTACATTTCTGGTATTTTTTAAAAAATAGCTTAAGAACTACGTTATTTTTTTATTCCTTATTTGGAAGCTATACTGGTCAGCATAAGAAAATACTTAACTTAAGATCTTCAAAGGCATACTGTAGAGGTTTGGAAAGCATTTGGTTTGGCTTGAAGCGAGTTGGCGAGTGAAGTGACAGGCACATAAGAAAGAACAACAGGTGAAAAAATGTGGAGTGTCTTTCATCTTTCAAAGGATTTTCTTGATGAATTGAAACAGCCATGAAAATAAGCACTGGTCTTAATGCCCAGTGGCCTAAAAGGACTTACAGTGGGCCAAATCAGAGTCAGGCCGGGGCCTAATGAAAATCAGGCAACAGGCCTAGGCCTAATTAAATGTGTTCTGCCTCTCCCCACTTTTTATTCCTTTTGGGATTTGTGGTAGAGAGATATTTCTCTTTTTGATTCAGGTAGAGCTGGTAATGACTAGCAAAGGCAAATAGTGCCATTAGTACCTCAAGTAGAACCAGTAAAAATTTTTGTTGGCTAAATAAATTTTCTTACAGGCCTATTTCTTTTAAAAACTGCTTATAAAAATTAACTAATATATTTCTGGACTAAAGTAAATATCTCTTGAATTGGTTGAATGGAAGAAACAAAAAATTTTTATTTTGTTTGGGAAAAATATTGCATTTCTTCATAACTATGTTTTAGAACAGCTTTTAAAGATGTTGATTGAGCTTCAGCAGCTTCCCAAACTTGTTTAAAGGAGTCTTTGGGAATCTATGAATCATAAATAATTTTCTGATTAAGGTCACAAGAAGGTGTCTCCATGGAATTGTGTAAAACTGTAAAGCATATTTGAACAATGTGAGTTTGACATAAGAGTAGAACATTTTCTCCAAGGCCCTAATTCATACTTTGTTCATACGTGTTTAAACTATGGCAAAGTTTCTATACTTTTCCACAGTTTATAGAGTGGGTACACAGAGGACCTGAGACTACACCACATATTCCCAGGCCCTCAGTCAAGGACTTCTTTCTTGCTAGTACCTCCCATGAAGAATTTGGTGCTTAGTTTAGCATCTGAATACAACTAAAACTTCTACATAACTCAGGGAGATAACAAACTTAATTTATTACAGCACATTTATAAGGTCCTAGGAGCTGCCTGAATAATAATAATTGGTGAGTCTGTTTTGTGTTTTTCCAGCGTTGGCTGAGGGAGCAACTTTTGAAGTAAATGACGATGCGAGATTTGGAAGAATTCTAGAGGCATGTGTTTTGGGAGCAGCATGGATGAGAATCAGAGTGGATCTGCAGACTGCAGCATATTACAAGTATGTATTGAACACAAGAAATATAAAAGGTCAGAAAGACAGTCAAATCCTGTGACGTCCCCTTTTTAAAAGAGAAATATAAATAGACGGCTTAGTCACTGTCAAAGGGTAGTCATAAATAACAACAAACCATACATTTTCAAAAGAATTCCAGTACCCTGTTTTCTTTTTGAAATGCTTAATGAAAAGCTGCACAAAAAATTTCCTTGGATTAAGGATTCTGGAATAAACAAGAGGCAGGAACAGAAGTCCACGTGCTCTGTCTTTACTGGCTTTAATTGTTTTGGTTTCAAGCTAAGAAGCAAAATGTTCCTGCCAAGTGAATATTCATGTGCATGGGATGTTTTCTGCTTTGTTTCACTTAGGCGTTTGAAGAAATGTCCTGGTTTGTATCAGTCATACATCATTTTAGTGTAAGAGAAAACACACCCCTTGGAACAATTAAGGACTTGCAACTTATCATTAGAATGAGTAATAAGCTGCAATGTGTATTTAGAATTGGTTTTTAGAAATTAATTACTGAGATAAGTCACGAAATGCTGTACTGTTTTCTAACAATTAAAAACTACAGTTCTACAATTCATCAGTGAGAAATTTGTCAGGGCAATATGTTTATCATTTATCATTTTAGAAAGGGTCCACAAACTTTTTCTGTAAAGAGCCAGATAGTAAATATTTTCAACTGTGAGTCTTAGTAGCGTGCAAGCAGCCGGAGACAGTAAGTAAATGAATGAGCGTGTCTGTGTTCCAATAAAACATTATGTGTTACATGAATTATGTATTACATTTCATAGAATTTTAACATGTCTTAATATCTCATTCTTTTTTTGGTTGTTTTTTAAAACCATGTAAAAATGCAAAAACCATGTTTAGCTTTGAGTTGCAAACCAGATTTGGTACAAGTGCTATAGTCTGCTGACTGTTATAGAATATAAGACTATTATCATTTATACTAAGATGTTTGAGTGTTATTTTGAAGAGCAATGCATTTTTTCCCAATTGAAAATTATTTTATAAGTCTGGTCCAATGATTCCTATTTTTCAAATGCATTATTTGGGCTGTTGGAAGACTGCGGGATGTAGGCTAGCTGAGTGGCATGAGGTTGGACAAATTAAACTCTGACTGCGTTCCTCTCATTATGTTTTAATTCTGTTCATCAGTAAAAGAAACTTGTGCCATTGCCTCACTTGTTGCAATGAATAAATTGGTGTAGTTTTACAATGGAACAACTGCATGGATTCTTTTGCTGCCTGAAGACTTGAGTGTTGGGCTCCTCTTCATAAAAGTTTCCATGACAATCTGGCCTGAGAGAATGACAGGTTTGCCCTCATGGGGAATTTCTCATTAAGGAAGCTTTTCTTTCACTACGAAGCTTTATGGAGGCTTAATAGTGGGTCAAACAGAAAGGACCAAATAGGACCTTTTCATAAACCATACCTTATACCCTCCCTGGCCTGAAAGAGAGCTTGTTTCCTCCTGTGTGTGGTGATGGGGTGATGTTCAGAAGCTGAGAGGTTAGGGAAGACCACCATGCTACCCTGGGGTCCTTACTTCCTTGGGTAACCAAGAGACCCAGACCTAGGCATGTGTTATTAATACATGGGCTAAGCCAAGAATTGTAGGCCCCTAGCTTTGCTTATTGAAAGTCAGTGTGTGAAGTCATCAAGAAAGTGGGCTCTGAGCACAACTGAGTCTTTAGCTGGTTCTGCTATTTTCTAGCTTTGTGACTTTCACCTCTCTGTGCCTCAGTTTCCTCATCCGTAGAAGGGGTATGATGATAATAATTCTTCTCTCGCAAGATTGTTGTGGGGACAAAGTACATTAATATATGTAATGCATCTTAGAACAGCACTTGTCACATGACAGTGATAAATTATAGCTATTGGGATAATTTTCTTTCTTTTTGGCCTTGAAAGTAACACATTTGAAAACTCTTATTTGAAAGAAGATTTCTTTTCTCAGGTATTATCACTAGGACAATCCTTTCATCTCTTCCTTCTCATCCATGTCACTCCTTTATTCTACTGATGTATGTCTTCCAGTCACCTTGCCACCCTGGCCTAATATTCATTTTGGATTCTGACCTTTGTTTTCTGCCCACTCTCTACATTTTGTTATATACTCAGCAATCTCCTGGACCTAAATTGAGAAACATTTGGGCCATATATAAAAGGAAAGTCCTGTTCATTAGGTTTAAACTAATATGTTGTCATGTAGCTATGGTATAGCCTAGCCTGGATTTGGTTAGAAATCTATAGGTTATTCAAGGCAGGTTTGTAGTAAGCTGCTTACCCACCTACCCAGAGCTGAGAAGCTGAAAACTTAGAGCCCATTGGAGAAAACTAGTAGTGTTCTGAGCATAGGCTTTATGGCTCGTCATGCTTTAATGGGGCTTCCCAGGGGCTTAGTGGAATGTTCTAAGGACACTCGATAAATACATTTGTGCTTGACTGTATATATTGGGTTTGTTTCTCTTTCCTGCCAACTGCTTTTTGGTTGGAGAGAGAAGAAGCCTTAAATGTGGCTGCACAGTATTTTAAATCCAGCCTAAACTGTTTTATCTTTCCTCCTGGGCCTATTCTGCCTGTGCTGTCTAGAACAGGGCAGGGGCGTGAACAGCTGTTGAGAGAAGCTTTTATTTTTGTTAATTACTAACCTGGATTCATCTACTCCTATTTTCTTGGAAGTGAGGTGCTACTTTTTTGTCTACTCAATGTAGGATTTTTTTTTTCTGAGAGTATGTGTTATATAAGTTATGGACAAAAGCAATTCTAAAAAAGTTTAATATGCTTGAATAAAATAAGGCCATGTTGAGGAAAACCACCTGCAGATAAAGTGGGGGGGGTGCATAGTACTTATGAGAAGTCTTTGGATTTTTCTCTTTAGGGTAACTGTAAAACCCAGTTCTCAGCCCTGTAAGAAACAATGTATGCATAAAATACCTGCTAATTCCTTAAAACAAAACAAAACACACACAAGTCTAGTATTTAATCTCATAATTCTTCACTCCTTAGGTATCTGATTCTATAAGACATCCATATGAGGCACTCTCTTTGACTTAAAAGGGTATTTTGTGCATGCAAGAAATACCCAGAAAGGAATGAGACTTTGCTCCAGATATATTTTTATTTGATTGAAACAATTAATTTGCTGTTGTATTAATCACTTACGCTTTAGGTTTATGTAGAGTTTACATTTGTTTAGTGATGCATTTTTATCCAGCATGTGAGATTGCTATTGTGTACAAAGGGCAAAACTAAGCCACATGTTAGGACAACCAGGCATGCAAATACCTGAGTCTGTCATTCAGTCCAAAGGTGAAGTACTTCTATCTCTGCAGTATTTTTACTGCAGATTTTCTGGTGTACAACTAGTGTTGATTATGATAAATCTATGTTTATTTTTCTAAGAGAAAAATAAAAAATAAAACTAGCATTTTTAGTGCTTTGTGGATGCCAGGCATTATTTATACATAACTTTATTTATTCCTCACATTAGGCCTTAAGCATAGGTATTATGCTCATATTATAGAGTGAAAACTGAGGTTTGGGAATTAAATAGTGTATTAGTTCATTCTCATTCTGCTAATAAAGACATACTCAAGACTGGGTAATTTATAAAGAAAAAGAGGTTTAATGGATTCACAGTTTAACATGGCTGGGGAGGTCTCACAATCATGATGGAAGGTGAAGGAGAAACAAAGCCACATCTTACATGGTGGCAGGCAAGAGAGCTTGCGTAGGGTAACCTCCCCTTATAAAACCATCAGATCTCATAAGACTTATTCACTATCATGAGAACAGCACAGGAAAGACCTGCCCCCATGGGATTACCTCCCACTTGGTCCCTCCTACCTGGTTCTTCCCATGACATGTGGGAATTATGGGAGCTACAATTCAAGATGAGATTTGGGTGGGGACACAGCCAAACCATATCAAATAGCTTGCCTAACGGCCACACAACTGGTAGGTTGTAGAGAGACAGGGTTCATAACAAGGTCTGTCTCTTTTCACTAACCAAATCACTGCCCTTCAAACAGAGATGGTCTTTGTTGACCATCTAGCAGAAAATGCTCACTTGGGAACGAGAAAAGTGTTCTCTAAATGAATTTAAACTTTTGTTTTTTGGTTATAGAAATAGATAGAAAAAGAATGCTACTTTTCATATTTTAAAAAAGCAAAAATTTGAAGCTTAAATTACTGAGAAATAGGCACAATTACTTGATTAAATTGTGTATGTAAGTCTACATCCAGAGAATTATACATTTAAAATTATTGCCCCACATAACTAATCAAATCCATAATCTGTGTCAAAGTGAGATATAATTTAATAAGCACAATGTAGACTGAAAAATGAATAGCTAACTGGTTGCTAACGTTAGTGTAATAATTAATTATAGTTTAGTTTTAAGAGAATTGCCAGTGATGGAATAAGAACTCAGGTTTTTGCAAATGCTTAAAAGCAACCACAAGTTACTGCTTCAAAGCAGAGACAAAATAGCCTTCATTTTTCTGCCAGAATCTTCTTTTAGCTCAGATGACCAAATCTACAAAGGAGAAAATGGGGACATTTTGCTATTTTAAAAGGATTCCTGATATCCTTGTGAGGAAAGTTGTAAAAGACATGTACGTTCTTCTAAAATAGGTTATCTATGGGCTATCTTATTATTGCACAAAATTATTTCATTTTTCTTAGTCTTGGCTTCTGTTTTTATCTACAAATGGCAACAACTTTTCAATTTAGGTTTTTGAGAGAGTCAAATGATATGTAAACATGCTTTGGGATGGTTAAAGTGTTATTTATATATAATATGATTTCAATCTATGTCCTCACCAAATCTCATGTGACATGTAATCCCCAATGTTGGAAGTGGTGCATGTGAGAGGTGATTGGATCATGGGGGTAGTCCTTTATGAATCGTTTAGCACCATCTCCTGGTGGTGTTCTCATGATAGTGAGTGAATTCTCATGAGATCTAGTTTAAAAGTATGCAGCACCTCCCCTTTTGCTCTTTCTCTTGTTCTTGCTTGGGCCGTATAAGATGTGCCTGCTTCCTCTTTACTTTCCAGCATGATTCTAAGTTTCCTGAGGTATCCCCAGAAGCAGAAGGTGTTATGCTTCCAGTACAGCCTGCAGAACTGTGAACCAATTAAACCTCATTTCTTTATACATTACTTAGTCTCAGGTATTTCTGTATAGTAGTGTGAGAACAAACTAATAAAATGTGAAATGGTAAGTACATGCAGACAGTATTTTCTAGTATACTTTCCTCTTGTAATTCAGTCTGCCCCTAACCTCTCACCTTTCCTTTGTTATTGCCCTAGGGAAAAACAGGAGGAATGCCACCTCACAGAGGGGGAAGGATAAAGAAGGGAGATAGGTCTTGTCGATCAAAAGGGAGAAGTGAAAAAACTTCAAATTCTAGGTGGCAAAGGGGAAAGAGAAAAATGGAGGAAGAAAAGAAGAGAGGAAGGGAGGTAGAAGGGAAAGAACTCAGCACTAATATACTGACTCCGTGCATTGTGATGAAAATTCCCATAGTGTGAGTAGAAACATCCAGAAATGTTTTAGGAGAACTTGGAATTCCCATCTCTTCTGAAAATGAGAATGAAAGCCTAAGAGGCCACATGACTCTACATCAAATGGAAACATTAGAGCAGTTTTTTTTGGAAGAATCTACATAGATGGTTCTAAGTTAGCATTTCTAGTTGCCCAGGGCCTGTGCAAAGCATGCATAGAATCTAGAAATCCTCCTGAACAAGAGAGAGGAGGTTCAAACATTTCAGAGAACTGGTGAGCTAGAATAGGGCCAATAACACTCTAAAGTCAGATAATACCAACTTTTGATGAGGAAGTTGGGAAATGCTCTTGCACTGTTAATGGTAGTCTGAGCTAGTACAGCAACTATGGGGAGTTATCTGGTAGTCCTTAGAATTATCAGGACATGTACATGAGGAGTTATCTGGGAGTCCTTAGAGATATCAGGTCATGTACACAGACACCCAGGATTCCCACTCCTGGGTGTATACCCTAGAGCCATTCTGATATAAGACTATAAGGAACATGTATTAGTATATTTATTGGTGCTCTACTTGAGAAGGCGGAAAGTTGGAAAAAATTAAGTGTCCATCACTGGTGGAAAGGATTAGTTAATTGTGGGATACACACACACACATACACACATACACTGTCTATCTATCTAATCTATCTATCTATCTAATATATATATAATGTTTCATCTTGCAGGGCATTTGAGATGAAAGAAAGCTATTAATGGTACATAAATTTCAATATATCTACATAGTATATTAATATATGTATATAATCTTTGTACCATTCAGAATTAATTATCTGGATGTACATAAAGCGACACTGATAGATCTTCCTTAGTCCACTGATTCAAATATCAATCTCTTATGGAAAACCTCACAGGCATATCTAGAAATAATACTTTATTACCTGTCTGAATATTCCTTAATCCAGTCAAGCTGACACCTAAAATAAGCAATCACAATACCTAAATACAGTTGCATTTATAAACATTAAAGTGGATGCCTGGCAGTGGTTGGGGGAAGGGGAGATGTGAGTGGACAGTAGGAGTTAGGATGAGAAAAGGGAAAAGCATAAAGTTAATAAAACATGATATATGCCTTGTGAAATTGGATGATGATGTACCGTGAACTAAGAGATATAATTCACTCAACTCTGAACCTTAGGTTAAAAAAAAAGAAAGCAATGGTTTGTATATCCGAATCATGGTGAATGCATAGGTGTTGTATTGTGATGACTATCTTCAGGTGAGCCTCTACCTTATAAGAGTGACCTTGCAGGGAGTGAGAGTAAGCTACTCATCCATATGACAGAGACAGATGATTTCAGGACCAGGATGGAATTTAGTAAATTGCTTGTTATTTAGTTATCCCGTGCCCTGAAAGATAAAACATTTACCCTTGAGATTAACATTTCATTGGCTGATCAAATTCAATGTACTGCTTATGTTCTCTGTAACAGGAATTTTAAAGTACATAAATTTTTCAGCAAGAGTCTGATATCTGAAAAGATACATTACTTTGATCTGAAATAATTTGAAGTTCAACTGGATGAAATATTGCTACTATTTAAGCTACTTATTTTTAAAATATGGATCCTGTTAATCAGATTGATAGTGTGGAGCTGGAACTCTCTCTGATGACAAGAGATGGAAGGCTAACTTCCCTCCACAGTTTTCATTATTCACCAGCTGCTTGTTGACCAGCTACTTTACTTTTCTAAAACCAGGTCTCTTCATCTACAAAATGATTGGGTTAGGTTATCGCTCCCTTCAAGATCTAAAAATGCTGTAATTTTACAATAACAAAACCAAAAAGGGTGATCATGTTCCAGTAAATAGAAAGTTATCTCTGCTATACAGTCTATCAATATTGTCTCAGAGACAGGAGAGAAATTGATTATCACTGACTCCAAAGATATGGGTGAGTCAAATTCTGTTTCCACACTATTATATTTGAGTAATCTAGTGCTTGTCAGAATTAGGCATTTTTAAAAACTCCAGTGTACAAAAATATCTACTACTGATTATTTCTAAGAATAGAATTTGAGCAATGGATCTTATGCTGGTACCTCAGTATAATCCCATCATCAGAGTCAATGATTAGGCATAGTGTTAGAAGTAAAATTAGTAGTACATGTTTCTTTGGGTACTTCCATACAAAAATATCTTGGATGGTGTACAAGATAGCCCTGTAATATAACAATAATAGCTAATATTTTACAACACTGTCATAGACACTGTGCTAGATGCTTTCCAAATATTAACTTGATTCATTTTCACAGCAACCTCATAAAATAGGTACTATGAGTATCCCCTTTTACAGAGGAGATAAATGAGGCACAGAGATGTTAGGCAACTTGCTTAAGGTTACATTGCTAGAAAGTGGGAGAGATGGGATTTGAATCCAGGTTGTCTAACTCAAGAGTCCTTGCTTTTAGCCGCTAGACCTATTATCTTTAATATGTGGTGAAGCTCAATTTTACATCAAAATTTTAATATTACACTACATAGTTTTCTGGACTATATGTTTTGAATAACGTTCTCATTATTCCACTCATAGCCAATTCTTGGAGGAAGATAATCAGAAAAAAGCCTATTGACTTTGTTCCCTTATTCTGATTTTTCCTTCAACACTGCCTCTTATAGTAATAGGGGAATCTAATATTTATTTGGCTTCTATTCTGTACCAGGCTTCGTGTTTTATGTTTATTAATTTATTCATTCCTTATGACCTATATGGGATGTGCATGATGACCAGCCCATCCTGCTGATGAGGAGGCTGAGGCTTACAGAGGTTCTGCATTTTGCTCATGGTCGTGTATGTCTAGTGAATACCCAAAGGAGCATTTGGCTCCAGAGCCTGTTTCTCCCTTGCAGGATTGCTTCTAAGATACTTAACATCTCCATCCCTAGAGTAAGAGAGTTGTTAAGATGTCATCTTATGTAATGTCTAGTTCTGATTCTCTCTGAGTCTATTATTCATAATGACTCATGGCTCTCCACTTAGTAATGGCTAAAGTAGAATTTCAAACCAGGCCCAAAGTTAGGTGCATTTGTCTCTTGTTAGCTTTGACAAATCCCAAATTTGAGCATATTAAGGAACAAAACAAAATAATACATAAAAATTTGATTTTTATTCATTTATCTGGAAACTTAAATCAAGCATTGCTATTTACATTATGCAGGCTTTAATTTCATTAATAAAGTATCTTTTTTTTTTTTTTTTTTTTGAGATGGAGTTTCACTCTTGTTGCCCAGGCTGGAGTGCAATGGCATGACCTCGGCTCACTGCAACCTCCGTCTCCCAGGTTCAAGCGATTCTCCTGCTTCAGCATCCCAAGTAGCTGGGATTAGAGGCATGCATCACCACACCCAGCTAATTTTTTGTATTTTTAGTAGAGACGGAGTTTCACTATGTTGGCCAGGCTGGTCTTGAACTCCTGACCTCAGGCGATCCACCTGCCTCGGCCTCAAAATACTGGGATTACAGGCATGAGCCACTGTGCCTGGACAGTAAAGTATTTTCTTTTCTTTCTTTCTCTTTTTTTAAAATTGTACTTTAGGTTCTGGGGTACATGTGCAGATCATGCAGGGTTGTTGCAAAGGTACACACATGGCAAGGTGGTTTGCTGCCTCCATCCCCCGTCACCTATGTCTGGCATTTCTCCCCATGTTATCCCTCCCCAACCTCCCCACCTCCTGCTGTCCCTCCCCTACTAGCCCCCCGCAACAAACCCCAGTGTGTGTTGCTCCTCTCCCTGTGTCCATGTGTTCTCATTGTTCAACACCTGCCTATGAGTGAGAACGTGTGGTGTTTGATTTTCTGTTCTTGTGTCAGTTTGCTGAGAATGATGGTTTCCAGGTTCATCCATGTCCCTACAAAGGACATGAATTCATAGTTTTTTATGGCTGCATAGTATTCCATGGTGTATATGGGCCACATTTTCCTTGTCCAGTCTATCATTGATGGGCATTTGGGCTAGTTCCAGGTCTTTGCTATTGTAAACAGTGCCACAATGAACATACATGTGCATGCGTGTTTATAGTAGAGTGGTTTATAATATTTTGGGTTTATACCCAGTAATAGTATTGCTGGGTCAAATGGAATTTCTATTTCTAGATCCTTGAGGAATCACCACACTGTCTTCCACAATTAGTGAACTAATTTACACTCCCACCAACAGTGTAAAAGTGTTCCTATTTCCCCACATCCTCTCCAGCATCTGTTGTCTACAGATTGTTTCTTGATGGCCATTCTAACTGGTGTGAGATGGTATCTCAATGTGTCTTTGATTTGCATTTCTCCAATGACCAGTAATGATGAGCATTTTTCCATGTTTGTTGGCCTCATATATATCTTCTTTTGAGAAGTATCTGTTCATATCCTTCACTGACTTTTGAATGGGGTTGTTTTTTTCTTGTAAATCTCTTTTAGTTCTTTGTAGATTCTGGATATTAGCCCATTGTCAGATGGGTAGATTGCAACAATTTTTTCCCATTCTGTTGGTTGCTGGTTCACTCTAATGATTGTTTCTTTTGCTGTACAGAAGCTCTGGAGTTTAATTAGATCCCATTTGTCTATTTTGGCTTTTGTTGCCAATGCTTTTGGTGTTTTAGTCATTAAGTCCTTGCCTATGCCTATGTCCTGAATGGTTTTGCCTAGGTTTTCTTCTAGGGTTTTTATGGTATTAGGTCTTATGTTTAAGTCTTTAATCCATCTGGAGTTAATTTTAAAATTTTCTTTTAAAAAAGACACTTTTATGTTAGGGAGGGATTTGTTGGGTTAAATCAGATAAAGTTTTGCTGGTATTCCAATTTTTAAAGAAAATTCTAAAAATTGACCTTGCATTTCTAAAGCCCTTGAAGCAAACTTTCTTAGTGAAAAGTATCAGGAGAGAGACTAAGGTAGAAAACAAGGCATGACTAATTGTTGGGGAACATTTCTTCACCCTTGAAAAGAGGTAGAGGAGTGGGAGAGGAAGTGGGGGTATGTGACCCAGATGTCTTATTTATGTTTCCTTATCATGAGTCTTCTTGCTAAAAGTGAAGTGTTGGTAAAGTGGTTTCAGTCTGCCAGAGACTCCTGGCCTTTGTCCAAACCTAACTGAAATATTATCAGAAATACATTCTTTGCTATGTATAGCACCGACAAGTTCTTCTAATGAGATCCAAACATTGCAGCCAATTAGGCAGGATAATACTGTGCTCCCTTGGGTAGGGAAGAACATGCCCTTTCACTATCTGTCATGCAGGGGTTATCCACCAACTGTGGCTTTGTGTGGCATGTCCAGAGGACTGATGCCAAAGTTTTATTTTGTGAGACAAAAATAAGTAACCCATGATGTGTTGGTGAGCCTCAAAAAGACCATCTAGCTTTTAAACTCTTATTTGGGAAACAAAGAAAGAGATTTAAATCTCATTTATTCTGGAGCAAAACTATAATATATGTATAATTATGTATCTAAATTATTTAAAATAACTGAATGTTCAGCATGGCTACAATAAAAACCTTGATGGAATATGCCTCTGAAGGAGGCTGCATATGGTGATTTTAGGAAAGAAGACGATGGATGATTAATAGGACAAGAAGAAAGGTTGATAGAGGTGACCGTGTGGTAACAAGCTCATAACAAGTTCACAATGGTCACAAATTCACAGAATGTCTAGATGTGATGTGGCAAGATACACAGGGTCCTAAGTATACTTAGAAATGTCACGTGTGCAATGTCTTTATATAGTGCTTATCTCTAAGCAACCCTAAGAGTTTATTAAGAATTAAGATTAGTCTTCACAAAAGTCAAATTGATTAGGAAAGCAAACCTTCTGTTTAGAATTGAGAAAGCTAGGATATGGAGTGTTTGCATAATTTTCTCAAAAATCACGTTTTTGGACTATGTTAACATAGAAGAAAGAAACTGTTTTATCCTACTTTCTCTCTTCTCACTACTCTCAATACTTCACTTTTCACTTTTGACACCAGATGTATGGCTTTTTCCCACACGAAGCAATTTTCCAACACGGACTGGTTGTCCTACAATTCAATTTAATTCTGTCACTAACTGAAGTTAGCACAGATGTCACAGGTTAAGGGCTCAGTCTCACAAGACTGCCCCCACTTCAGATGTCAACTGAAAGTCTAGGTTGTTGTTAACCTGTGCTTCCATTGAAAGTCCCACAACTCCCTCCTTAGGTTCAGTCATTTGCTAGAGTGGCCCACAGAACTCAGGAAAGTGTTTTACTTACTGTCTCTAACTTATAATAAAAGGCTACAGCCCAGTGGAAGAGATGTATAGAGCAATGTGTGGAGGAAGCAGCAGAAAGCTTCCATACCTTCTCCAGTCTTGTCACTCTCCATGTGTTCAGCTACCTGCAAACTCTCTCTCTCTCTTTTTTTTTTTTTTCATGGAGGCTTCATTATGTAGGCCAATGATTAAATCATTGGCCATTAGTGATAAATTCATCCTGAAGCCCCTGAGGTAGAACTGAAAATTCCAATTCTCTAATCACAAGGTTGGTTCCTCTGTTAACCAGCTCCCATCCTGGGCCATCCCAGAGCCCCAAACACTAGTCTTCTCATTAGCATACCAAATGATACTTTTGACTTCAGAGATTCCAAGGGTTTTAGGAACTATGTGCCAGGAAACTAGAATAAGACATATATATATGTAACAATTCCACAGACTATAACCCAGGACTTCTTCAGCTTACTGATTAAGAAGTGATGTTTTTCATCTTCACCACATTCCAGCTGAGCACTTTCCTTTGGCTTGCAATCATAAAACTTTGTGTTCTGAAAGGATATCATCTTTTTTGATCCTTGATATGGTTTGGCTCTGTGTCCTCACCCAAGTCTCACCTTGAATTGTAATCCCCATAATTCCCATGTATCAAGGGAGAGACTAGGTGGAGGTAATTGGATCATGGGGGCAGTTTCCCCCATACTGTTCTCATGACAATGAGTGAGTCCCTTGAGATCTGATGGTTTCATAAGTGTCTGAAATTTCCTCTGCTTGCACTCACTTCATCCTGCTGCCCTGTGAAGAAGGTGCGTGGTTCTCTTTTGCTTTCCACCATGATTGTACACTTCCTGAGTCCTCCCCAGTCATGCAGAACTGTGAGTCAATTAAACCTCTTTCATTTATAAATTACCCAGTCTCTGGCATTTCTTTATAGCAAAGTGAGAATGGACTAATACAGTAAATTGGTATCAGGAATGGGGTGCTGCTATAAAGATACCCAAAAATGTGGACACAACTTTGTAGCTGGATAACCAGCAGAGGTTGAAACAGTTTGGAGGACTCAGAAGAAGACAGGAAAATGTGGGAAAGTTTAAAACTTCTTTTTTTTCTCTCTCTATAGCTAATTTTAAAAAATATATACTTTGAGTTCTGGGGTACATGAGCAGAATGTGCAGGTTTGTTACATAGGTATACATGTGCCATGGTGGTTTGCTGCATTTATCCCCCCGTCGTCTACATTAGGTATGGTATTTCTCCTAATGTTAGCCCTCTCCAATCCGCCTACCCCCTGCTATCCCTACCCTACCCTCCCCACCCCCTGACAGGCCCCACTGTGTGTTGTTCCCCTCCTTGTGTCCATGTGTTAAATTTGGAACTCCCTAGAGACTTGCTGAATGGCTTTAGACCAAAATGCTGATGGTGATGTGGACAATGAAGTCCAGGCTGAGGATGTCTCAGATGAAGATGAGGAACTTATTGGGAACTGGAGCAAAGGTGACTCTTGCTATGTTTTAGCAAAGAGACTTGTGGCATTTTACCCCTGTTCTAGAGATCTGTGGAACTTTGAAATTGAGAGAGATGATTTAGAGTATCTGGTGGAATAAATCTAAGCAGCAAAGCATTCAAGAAGTGCCTTGGGTGCTCTTGAAAGCATTCAGTTTTATGCACTCACAAAGAGATGGTTTAGAATTGGAATCTATGTTTAAAAGGGGTGGAGAGCATAAAAGTTTAGAAAATTTGCAGCCTGACAATGGGATAGAAAAGGAAAATCAATTTTCTGAGAAGAAATTCAAGCCAGCTGCAGAAATTTGCATAAGTAATGAGAAGTCAAATGTTACTCTTCAAGATGATGAGGAAAATGTCTCTAGGGCATGTCAGAGGTCTTTATTTCAACCCTTCCCATCATAGGCCTGGATGCCTAGAAAGACAAAATGGTTTCGTGGGCTAGGCCCAGGGGCTTGCTGCTTTGTGCAGTCTCAGGACTTGGTCCCCTGCATCCCAGTCAGGGCTACCAGTGGCCAACATATAGCTCAGGCTCTTGCCTCAGTGGGTACAGGCCCAAGTTTGACAGCTGACACATGGTGTTGGGCCTGTGGGTGCACAGAAGTCAAGAATTGAGGTTTGAGAACCTCTGTGTAGATTTCAGAGTATGCATGGAAATGCCTGGATGTCCAGGCCTAAGGTTGCTTCAGGATGGAGCACTCGTGGAGAACTTCTGGTAGGGCAGTGCAAAAGGGAAATGTGGGGTTGGAGCCTCCACATGGAGTTCCCACTGGGGCTCTGCCAAATGGAACTGTGAGAAGAGGGCCACCATCCTTCAGATGCCAGAATGGTAGATCCACCAACAGCTTGCACTGTGCACCTGGAAAAGCTGCAGACACTCAACATCACCCTGTGAAAGCAGCCTGGAGGGAGATGTACCCTGCAAAGCCCCAGGGGAAGAGATACCCAAGACCATGGGAACCCACCTCTTGTATCAGTGTGACCTGGATGTGAGACATAGAGTCAAAGGAGATTATTTTGGAGCTTTTAATATTTAATGACTGACTGCCCCACCTGATTTCAGACTTGCATGGGGCCTGTAGCCCCTTTGTTTTGGCCAATTTCTCTCATTTGGAAAGGGAACATTTATCCAATTGTGTCTTAGAAGTAACCAACTTGCTTTTGATTTTATAGGGTTAGGTGGAAGGGACTTGCCTTGTCTCAGATGAGACTTTGGACTGTGGACTTTTGAGTTAATGCTGAAATGAGTTAAGACTTTGGGGTACTATTGGGAAGGGCATGATTGTGTTTTGAAATGTGAGGACATGAGTTCTTGGAGGCACCAGGGCAGAGTGATATGGTTTGGCTGTGTCTCCACCCAATCTCACTTTGAATTGTAATCCCCCTAATCCCCATATGTCAAGGGTGAACCCAGGTAGTGATAATTGGATCATGGGGATAGTTTCTCCCATGCTGTTTTCATGACAATGAGTGAGTCTCATGAGATCTGATGGTTTTATAAGTGTCTGGCATTTCCTCTGCTTGCAGTCACTCTGTCCTTCCACTCTGTGAATAAGGTGCCTGCTTCTCCTTTGCTTTCCACCGTGATTGTAGGTTTCCTGAGGCCTACCCAGCCATGCAGGACTGTGAGTCAATTAAACCTCTTTCCTTTATAAATTACCCAGTCCCAGATATTTCTTCATAGCAGTGTGAGAATGGACTAATACAAGCCTTTTGCTTGAATCCTCTCTGTTTACCCTTTACATATTTTGAATATCTCTAATGATGATACAGTTGAGTAGTAGCGCTTTGTCTTAGTCTGTTTTGCATTATAATATGATTTGGATATTTGTCCCCTCCAAATCTCATGTTGAAATGTCATCCTCAGTGTTGTAGGTGGGGCCTGGGGGAGGCATTTGGGTCATGGGGCATATCCCTCATGAATGGCTTGGTGCCCTCCCCATAGTAGTTAACACAAGAGCTAACTGTTTAAAAGAGCCTGGATCTCCCTTGCTTCCTCTCTCACCACGTGACACACTGGCTCCCTCTTCAACTTCTGCCATGACTAAAAGATTCCTGAGGCATCACAGGAAGCTGAGCAGATGGCAGTGACATGCTTATATAGCCTGCAGAACCATAAGGCAAATAAACTTCTTTTTAAAATAAATTACCCAGTCTCAGGTTTGCTTTATAGCCATGTAAAACAGACTAACACATGTTGCTATAAAGGAATCCCTAAGACTGGATAAGTTCTAAAGAAGAGGTTTATTTGGCTTACAGTTCTGCAGGCTGCACAAGAAACATAATGCCAGCATCTGATTCTGGTGACATCCCCAGGCTGCCTCCACTAATGGTGGAAGGGGAGTGTGAACCTGTGTGAGCAGAGATCACATGGCAAGAAAGAAGAAGAAAGATAGACAGGAAGGAGATGTCAGCCTCTTTTTAACAATAGGCTGTTTTGGGAACTCATAAAGCAAGAACTCACTCATTACTCTGAGGATGGCACTGAGCTATTGGTGAGGGATCTGCCCCCTGACACAAATGCGTCTCATTAAGCCCCTCCTTCAACATTGGGGATCAGATTTCAACATGAGATTTGGAAGAGACAAACACCCAGATTATAGCAGACTTCATTACCCACCCCCTGCAAAAAAAAAAAAAAAAGGATCTGAGGGAAAAGCCCAAGGATTGTCCCAAAGCAATTCTCTTAGTTAAAGATAATGGTAGCAAAATTCTTCTCTCACAATAGCCATATCTAATGTTCGGACAGTATGACTTTTGACTAAGGTTAAAGCTCTTAGACAATTACAGCACCCATTTCTTACCTATTTTTTATGTATATACTACTTCATTTGATAAAAGGGATGGCTAGAATATTATTCTTTACCTAGAACCATCCTTGTAGGTATCATGATCATCTTGTACCACTGGAAATGTACTTTGGTTTTCCTTTGGCCTCAAGCAGCTCAGTTTTTAAGAAGATTGAGATGGTGCCCCTGGAGTCTTGAAGACAGACAATAACTGCTTTCATTCCTGGCATGATCTTATGTTAAGAAATCCAGTTCACTTGACATTTTCTGAAGATGGTTTCTATTCATGGCAAAATTAGGTCTCTTCCACAATGTAAAAACAGTCAAACCTGGAGGGCATATGGTAGAACCTGCCTTTACCCAGAACATTTTGAAATGCAGTGGGTAGTCATTGAGTCTAGAAAACTCACTGAGTTGCCTCTTTGTCAGTCTTTGGAGACAGTGGAGCTTCACTGCTCGAGGGTGCCCTTCCTGTCTTCTCTGGGATTCCTGGCAGCCAGTACAGAACATTTTAAAATGGCAGGAGGCACACATCTCACTGCTTGAAAAAGATGCAACACTAGCTGGCTGTCCAAAAGAACAGACGAGCTGCAGTATTTCCAAGGTGTTAAATCTAGGTGAAACTTACTTCCTGCAAGGATAAAATTGTGAACCCTGGTGATATCTTTCCAGAGTTGCTGGAGCTTTTGGGGGAGGAAAATAATATTTATCCTTTTAAAGTCACTCTTTATCACAGGAGAACTAATGAGAAATCTATCATTGGCATAGGGCTTGTTTAGATGGATCTGCCAGGGATGCACATAAATGGAGTTCTAAAGTCTTGGTCATTTTTGGGGACCTATCCATTTCCTGCTTTTGCATCTCCAAAGTACAGACGATTCTGATAAATTAGTATGCTGTCCCTTGTGAGTCGAATATTTGCATTTTAACATGGTTGTCCCGGAGAGAGTATCTTCACCCAAATGAGTGAATCTTGATGAGAATTTCAGCCAATGTGGCAGATCAGTGGGGAAGACATTTTGAGAGTGAGTGTGCTTTGTGGAAAGGCTCAAATCAATCCAAATGGATGGGTAATTTATGGTGTGCTATCACTTGCCAAAGTTACTTCTGGGAGACTTTGCTGTGGAGTCCCTAGAGTCCTGTGAATCAAAAAAAAAAAAACATCAGCAAAAGGCCTTAGCTCCAGTGGAGGTTGCCTGTCTCCATCTGTGCCAGGGTCTGGACAGGGAGTAAATATAAACCCTTATCCTTGGGTAACATGTCTTCCTGGGAGGTTGGCCTTCCATAAGGGAGGAATCTGTACCTAAAAAGATCCTCACACCATGAAGTACCACATGGGAGGAAGGATAGCAGATCTGTGGAAAGGGAGAAGGTCATCCACTTACCCCTTCCCCAGGAAGAGCCTGGAGAGCATAGCAAGGAGTGCTTATTTATCCTAGACCTGGATATGCCACAACCTGGCTGAGTGTCCTTGCTGAATCCCAGTCAGTAGCTGAAGGATCAAAGTGCCTCTTGGAGGCCTACTCAAGACCAGACATTTCCTCAGAAAAATATTGGCAATTTCCTTTACTGTGGTGGGTAACTCCAGGTTTGAAAACAACTAAAACTAAAAAATTTTGGAGATGATATATGGTAAAGAACATTAAGGCTATTGTTTAATGCTACTATTTATTCATGTCGAGTCTAGATCTAGGAACACTTGTAGGAAACCTAGGCTCTGATGGCTGAGTTAAATGTGCTGTTCAGCAAGAGTCAGGATTATGATCTTAAATTTTATAATCTCAAACTGATGATTTACAAAAAGAATATTTTTAAATTATAAAAATAATTTATACAAATTATTAAACACATAAGAAAATAAAAAACACTCAGTTCTGGGATTCAGAGATTTTCTTTCTTAATTCTATGTATTAGTAACTAATTTGATAATGATAGAGATTATGCTCATGTTATATATACTTAGGAATTCTGTTTCTTTTACTTATTAATAAATCAGAAATGCTTTCTTACGTATTAAACATTACTTGAGATCATGCCATTTACAGATTTCATAGTATTTCATGACATAAATATATTATAATTTATTTAAGCAATCCTTTATGGTGGCAGCTCAAATTACCTTGACTTCTCATGAAACTGCTTTCTGCTCATCTGCCCTCAAATTTTATGAGATGCTGT